TTATTTTTTTTTTTTCAATGTTTTCTTGACTTTCTGATATGGTCGCATGAGATTTACTTAAAAAAAATGGGGGGGGGGGGGCGCAAAATTAAGATTTTGCCCAGAGCGCAGAAATGTCTAGGGCCGGTCCTGTTTTGGCACGTCGTACATTAAATACATCATGTTATTATGTCTGGCAGTTATCAAAATAATTTTGAATTTGTTAAAAATTTGTATATTTTGATATTTTAAAAGTTTTTATAAGCATTTAACAAAATGGTGGATCGTTGATCAATCAAAAACTTTAATCCTAAACGTAGTTTCCTATTTTAGAGACACAAATCTATTTGCGAGGCTCTTGGAAAGAGGTACAATCATATGGCTGCAGAGGCATTACATATTTCGCAGAAAACTATTCTGATACAGAGTATGTGAAAATAATGTCTAAAAAAGTAAGCCAAAATAAAACAAAAGTCAATTCTTTGATAAGTAAGTTGAGCCAAGTTATGTATAAGATGAGTTATCCAAAAAATATTTTCTGTGCCTCCTGTTATATTTTATTTTACAAAGAATCTGTTTCAGCAATTTGCACCTGTTTTGGATTATCTTTAAAAACTCTAAAAACCAATGTTCAGCTCGAAAATTTATTTATAAAGTTCGAATGTAAATTATTCTAGTATATTTCTATCACTTTAGCAGGGACAGGAGTCACTATAGTAGCATAACTAGTTAAGTTACTATAATAAGCACCGTTTAATTTCGTCCTGGTTCGTTCTGAGTACGGAACTATTCAAGGCGTTATCTTGTTACCATCCTAATGTCAGTCTAGTAGTACCATATTATTTTGAATATTTATATATGTCATCTCCTCTCCATACTAACTCGATGATTTCTCCCCTTGGGGGAGTAGATATTAATTACAAAATTTTGCGCGGGGAAGACTCTAGAGAAGTAATTGCTCGGAGAATGGGAAGGACTCGTATATATAAGGGGTATAAGGAGTTATAGCCTTCCGTCTTGGACGCTATTTTTATTCGCAATAGTCGCCTGGTTTGCTATTTTATGAAAAATGTATAAGCGATTTTTTTAAATAATATTTTAATTGTGTTTGACATAAAATATTTAAATTGAATCAATTATTCATGATTTCACCTATTGTAGATAGAATACATCGTAGGTATGTAGCAACCTGTTAGATCTACCAACCATTCCCACCGACAGTTCCTTTGGTTTTGAATGTCTTATTATTTTTGAAACTATCTCCATAACTGTAGGTATATATAGTGCGTAACAGCCAAGTGAAATAAATTTAGTATCTCATTTACATGTTTCGGAATTTTTTATAAATTATGCACAGTAATTGAGCTACTGAATTTATTCCATTTGGGTGTTACACACTATATAAATTTATATTTATATTTAAATAGTTATGGAACTGTTGACATAACTTTTTTATGTTATTCTTGTTTTTTCACTAGTCTATATATGAGAAAACACAATTTTTTGATAGAATGTATGGTTACAGATCGCCTTTTTTTCAACAGACTTTAGCGTTATTTTTGGACAGTAGAACATTTATCTCGAAAGTGGGATTACCCTGCCCAAATCGAGACGTATTTTGCTATTTTATTTTCACCGTATATATATTCATTACATTTATCACAGTTTATTATTATTGTTCAACAGAATTATGCGCAAAGTGTTATTGTTATTGAGTTTAATAATAATTATGATTGTTGATTTTATATTTTAAGAATAATTTTGTTACTTATTAGAAAGTCAATTTCTTTTTAATAAATACGATTATTCAGCTACCGTGAAATCAAACATGCATATTCATGCAGAGGCTATTATTGTGAATCAATTATATTTAGTTAAATGTTATATCATTTTTTTTGCAGATTTATCATATTTGTATAAATAATTTTCATTTTGTCTAACTTGTAAATACATATCACTTATTTTTTAATGTTTTGACTATACATTTATTTTCCAAAGATAAACACAAATACATATGGGAGTAGATAATATCTACAAACTAAGAAATGGTCAAACATTTTTACACATCAAAGAATTCGTCTAATGTATAAACAACATTATTCAAAGCTTAATAAACAAAATTAAATTAAAAAAATCAAAAATTAGCTTGGGAACATCACTTGGCAAAGAGCATTTCAATTTTTTTTGTTAATAACGTCGATAACATTAAAGTTTCGTTTAAATCAATCAATAAATTAGATTCCCAATTAGTCAACACTAAAGATAAAACCAACATCTTAGACAAGAGTTGAGTGCAGCGATTATCACGATTATTTTGAATTAATTTACAAAAAATGTAATTTAGAAAATTTTATAAGAGCACTGACATCTTGGTCAATAAAATTTTCTGCAACAGCATCAGAATTGTAATTCCATAAACCCGAGGTTATATTACTAGTATAGACACTAAAAGGTCGTTGTCTTAGAATAGATCCCTGTGGAACGCCAGGTACGCCACAACAAAGTTGTTGTTAAATAGATAACGCTGATTAGTTTCAATATATCGATATCTACTTTTAAGATAATTTCTAATAATTAAACAAACACCATTCTTAGCAAATCCAACATTTTGGCATATTTGGCACCATATGATACTTTCCCTAAAAAATTGAGTAAAGAATTTTATTTATTAAAAAAAATACAATTTGAAATTCCGATATTCTGTCTTTAGAAGTGTGAATTTTAAATTTAGATAAAAATGTAATTTGTAACAAAAAAGTGGTTTGTATTTAGTTCCTACTAGTGACATGTTATTGGGGTCTAATATCCCTTTTCCCCCCTCAACTTTGTTGACACTGACTTGTTTCATTGTAGAAAATTAATAACTTTGACTTGCTCAAATCAAATATTTCTATTAGAAATTAAGAAATGTTAATCCCAAATGACTAAAAGTGGGACTGAAGTAGCAATTTTAGGTCCCTCGTTTTATAAATGTTAGTTATTCTGTAACTAAGGGCGGTGCATAATTATCAGGCGTTTTATAAAAAACTTGATTTATATGAAAGCAAAATTTTATTTATATTAAAAAAAAAACAAAAATTCTCTAATAGTATCGTTAAATCATTATTACGGAGCATAGTCACTATCAACTTCAATAACTGATTCCCATTTGCTTGGAAGACGGTCGATTCCATGTGCAAAAAAGTCACGGTTCTTGGGGGCAATCCATGCTTTGAAATCGGCTACTAAGCTATCCAAATCTTCGAAAACTTTCTATACCAGCCAATTTTTCAGCGATCGATTGACATGGTAGTCCGTTGGCGCTTCTGTAGGAGAATATGGCGGATGCGGAAGCAGTTCCCAACCCTTATTGGCGTTGCTTTCGACAACACGGCGCTCAACATGTGGACGCGCATTGTCGTGAAGGAAGACGATATGGGTTTTTTTGCGCGGTCTTTTCGTCTTGATTATAGTGTGAAGGCGGTCAAGTTACGCCATATAGACATCACTGTTGACGTTGAATTGCCGCTTGCCGTTTTTGTCTGGAATCCGCCATTCGTGACGCTCATCGTCGTCATTCCACCAATAACAAATCCCATTTGAAATAATTTCCCAATGGATAATTCCGCTTCTGTCCCACTAAACACACCACATTGCCTTTTTACAGTGTATGTTTTTTGGTATTCGTTTTGGTGCAACATCTGGCGAAACGCAGACCTTCTTTCTTTTGACATTTTTAAAGAGAAGCCATGACTTATCTCCAGTGACAAGATTCTTCAAAAAACGGATCTTGTTCGTTACGTTGCAGCAAATCAGTAAAAATTCGGGGACGTTCGGCTTTATTGTTTTCGGACAGTTCGTGAGGGACCCAACCAGCCACTTTTCATACCTTTCCCAGCTTTTTCAGGCGACGAACGATGGTTGAGTGGTCCACATTGAAGTCTTCTGCCAGCATTCAAGTTGTCAAACTTTCATCCCTTTCTACGGCTTCCAAAAGTGCCTGGATATCGAAATCTAATGGTAGACCTCTTCCTGGCTTATTTTCCAAGCTAGTGTCACCAGATTTGAAACAGGCAAATCATTCCCTGCATACACTTTCACTTATTGTTCCTTCACCAAAAAGTTCGTTGAGATCACGAAATGACTGCGCTGCTTTCCATCCTTTTTCGAAGTAGTAAAGCATAATATGACGAATATGAGTATAATTATCGACACGCATGTTTATAACCACGAAATTAAATAATATTTTGACAAAGCAAAAGTAAACATTACATCAATTGTTTCTGAATAAACGGCCACCTACAAAAATGCCTGATAATTATGCAACAGCCCAATATAATGTCAATTTATAGGGTTTCAAAATAATATTTTGAGTGTGGTACTTTAAATTCTAAAATGCGGGACTGAAGTACTAGTTTTAGTCCTCCTCGGCGTCAAAAAAATCCTCTATTGATGTAGTAATTTTGTAGATTCATTATATAGTATATGATACACCAAGGAACTAAAGTGGCATTTTTATCTCGAAACGAAAAATTTGTTGCATTTCGTCGAGGGATAAAAAGTCACTTCAGTCCCATGGTAAGCTATTTAATAAACTTTAGAAGAAAAATAATTAAAAAATTATGAAAAAACCATTGACGGTACTCTAATAACAAAGCAATGGTGTCAGTGCAAGGTTGTTGTAGTGTTAGTGTTGACGTAGGTATATTGTATTTTGTACTCTATTTTCGGTTGTATGTTAGAGATTAAAAGTAATTTTTAATCCCTAGGGAGTAAACCTGCCATTAAGTATATTGTACTTTTAATCCATTTATTAAAAATACATTAATATTTTTTTGGTCCCTGGAAATAGGGACTAAAAGTATACTTTTATTCCCTAAAGTGCATAGACAATGTAAATTTTCAGAGCACCCAAACCATATTTTGAGTGTAGTATTTTAGTTCCAAAAATGCGTGACTGAAGTACTAGTTTTAGTCCCACGCGGTGTCAAATAATACTATACTGATCTAGTAATTTTGTAAATGTATTTTAACAAGTTTACCTTATTTTATGCTGATATTCTGCAACTATATTGTCAATTTTCGTAGCACCAAAGCAATATTTTGAGCTTTACTGATATACTGATAATTTTCTACATCCACAACACTAAGATAAGACGCACTGAATCACTAATTATCATTTTAATCACCAACGTTGTTTCCTCTATGCAATGGAATATTTCAAAAATCATTTCAAAAACGATAAAGTTGAATTTTTTTTGGTTCTGAAGAAGAAGAGCATGAATCGCGACTGTTGTTTTTGACAAATGTGGATATCGCTCACTCTTCACGTATCGCGCTTTACTAGAAGCAGTGCAGCGGTGGAGGCTCGGCAAGAAATAAAAAGTTTCGCGTCAATTTAATTGCGTGAATCGTATAGAAAGGCTGAGGATCTCGGGGATGTAACGATGTGTCCGCTACTACTCTACTGCATATTTACATTTATGTTCTGTTCTGTTCGGTGGTTTTCGTATACAGAAATTGGATCCCTTGCGGAAGTCTACTTCCGTTTTTCGGTGATATACTAGACTGCAACAGGGTTTTTTTTATTGTACAATATGCGATGAAGGATGGAATTTCGTCTGATGAATATACGGGTATACGATGGAAATAGATTTACAGCATTCGATGTACGAGGGTAGGTGGAAAAGTCTGTAGGACGGCAATGAAGAAATCTCTCGATGGGTTTTTGCGCAATGCTTGCGAATAGATACCTAAGTAGGACTGCTTATGCCGCGTTTGAATATCCACATCGGATGCATCTGAGATGTGAATTTTTTGTCACGTGATGGAGGATTAGATCTGAATGTAGTTGTAATAAACAAACGCTCTAGACTTTATTGGTCACGTGATAAAATTACAATGACAAGTTAGAAGTTTATATTCTTTAAATTTGACTTTTGAGACTGGAAAACAATCTAAATATATATTTCTAAATAAAAATTAAACACTAATCACTTTTATATTCACGCTAGCATAAATAAAGGATAAATCAATAATCTTGGCTTCACAGAACACCTACTTTCTGGCATGGAACGAACATCTCATTTCAAATCGAGATGTAAAAAATGTAATCTGGACAGCTACATCTGGGATAAACAAACGCAAACGCAGATGTAGATGTAGTAGATGTGTCCGATGTGGATAAACAAACGCTCGAGACGTAAAAAATGCATCGGATATGGATATTCAAACGCGACATTATTCTTAATATAAGATTTGTAGGTTTTATAACCGAATATCAGTTCCTTTCTTGGATATCAAAGTAGGACTACTTATTCTTAATATGATAAGATTTGTAGTGTCCGACCGAAACAAGGTTTTATAACCGAAACAGAAACCAAAACCGAATAGTTCTTAGTTTCGGCTGAAACAGAAACCGAAACTTTCTTTCAATAGCAAACTGTACCTCTCGGGAAAGCAATAAAATTTTAGGAATTTTCTAATATAAAATTGTATTTGGGAATACTTCGCGATATGTTTCTCGAGAATATAGGGAAATTTAAATTTGTGCAACGATAAGGCAGCACTCTACATAGGCGTTTAAGAAAAAAAGGTGGGATATTCTCCCATTTAAAAACTACTATACATTAAAACAAAAAGCAGGTAATTTTCATATATTTAATACAGAATGGCGCGCAAAGTTTTTTTTTTAATTATTTTTAAATTTTTTTTAAAATAAATACTTTTTGAAGGTTTACAAAAAAATGTATCCACCCTAACTTTTATTATTGGTATTTCCTGAAAATTTCACTAAAATCAGACTAAAAATAAAGATTCAGAAGCATAGGCGCCGGAACTCAAAAATTGCTTTGGGTGCCTGGCCTCTATGCGAGAAATGTGAGCTCCTTCCTCCCTCCCTCCACATAACACTTAGGGTCATCACCGGTTTTTAAAGGCACTTTAAAAGCCATTTTAAAGCGTTGAATTTATGAAAATTTTCTTGAAAAAAAAAAGTATTGTCCAATGTCGAATTGCTGGAGTTTGAAGATTGAAGCGGCAGACGGGAGTATCAACAATCGGTATGCTTGAGACTCCCACCTAAATCGGGATATCTGGCCTCTGGCAACCCTATATGCTCGGTGCAGCCATCACTGGATCCGGTATGTGCTGGAGAAGTTGTAAAATGCTGTTCTACTTTCTGCAATTTTGCAAGAAATGGCGAGGAAGATGATGAAGTTATACCTGTAGATAAAGAAGAAGAAATTAACTTTCCTTTAGACAACATTCAGGGCCGATTAGAGGGGGGGGGGGTAGCCGGGACTAATTCCCGGTGCCCGCACTGAAATGGGGGCCCGGCAACCGGATATTTCTTGGTTTGTATGAGCAGTTCGGCACAAGACTAGAGAGGAAAAGTGTTTGTTTGAAGACCTTGTTTTTAGAAAATTCAATTGTAATATAGAGGAGAAAAAGTTTTTGGTTTGAGGACCTTTTTTTTTCTTTTTGTTTTAGAAAAATAATGAAGTGGAGGAAGAAAAGTTTTAGCTTGAAGACCTTTCTTTTTTTTTAGAAATTTCAATTCAAGTAAAACAGGAAAAGTTTTTGTTTCGTGACCTTTTTTTGTTCCGGGGCCCGATCTAGCGAATTGTCCTGGGGCCCAGCCTGGCTCTCGGCGGCCCTGACAACATTGAAAGCAAATAGTAGGTGTTTTAAATTAATTGACGACGAAATCAATTCTATTACAACTGTAAAATATGCGTTCTTCGCCATTTTTAAATTTGTTTCTGGTCTTACAAGCATAATTAATTTCCCTATTTTCCTGTGCTCAAAATTCCTAAAATTTAAAACAGATTCCTTAATAGTTATTATGGTAAATATCTAGCAAATATTTCTTTAAATAATTATAATAAGAAAAATTCTCTATATTGCTACACGCTACGCAATGGATATATATGTTTATTTTGTTCCTGTCCAACAGATTCTGGGTGAAATTTTCTTAAGTACCTGTTTCTTGTAGATGTACTTGGATGTCCAATTCTACAAAATTCACAAATCAAATTTTGTTGGCTGCAAAATAAACATAAGATTTATATTATAACCTTAATGTTCTTTTGAATAAGAATAATTTCTTGACCGTAGCAGAATTTTTTATAAATAAAAATTTCCTTGGTTTATTCGGTCGTTTTTATTTTCTATTGTTTATCACAGCACTACATATGTTTCGGAAAACTTTTCCATCTTTGGGTGCAGTCAAAATTTATTAACACATGGGGACAATTACAAACAATTTAAATTTTTTTTAAAATAACAGAAATCCCATCTTTCTGTTTCAGAAAATGCCACAATATAAAAAAATAATTTCCCCTAGGGATTCATTAGTGAATTTCAATATCACTATAAAACTAACCCAATTCAAATGTAGTAAATATTAAAATTATCAATTAAAGTTGCTGTTTTATTTATTTTTTCGACTCTAATATGCACTGAACAAAATTATAAAAACTATAAGATATGTAAATTTAGAATACCGCGACTATTACCAAATCAACAAAATCTGAAATCTAAGGTTAGGTTGGTTAATTACCAACGAAATACGAACTGACACGATATTAAACGAAGAATCATTCAATCTACTGAAGCATTAGGAATTCTGATTGGCTGAGCCTGTTTGAATTTTAATGTATGCTAACACTGCGGCCTCTTGGGATTATTGTATTCTGCTTTCCCTGTATTCACGTACTATCTTTGGAATAGTCCCGTGCCTTTGGTTACTTTTAATAAGTTTCTGGGGCGTTCTTTCCGGTTCTAGGCCGAAAATCATGAGACGCCACCTATAAGAGCTTTGCATTCGAAGATAACATGGTATGATGTTCCTTCCTCTTCCATGCAGACTGCACGTAGTGGGATCATTGTGTAATCCCATCTCATGGAGGTGTTTCAGCAAGTAGTGCCTCGTTAGTAATCTCACAATGGTGGATATCTGATGCCTTACGAGTTGTAGTGCCTCAGTAGACATGCGTAGGTTTGATCCCGTTAGCATAAGCTTACTGACTCTGTACTCTCTTACCTGTTGCCAGTGAATTTTGTGTTTTGTGGTTATCCATCTATTCACTGCCTGTCGAGCAGAGGTTCTGTTTGTTACAAATGCAGGTTCGGGTTCTGTGAAAGGTAGTTCTGATCCCTCTTTGGCGAATTCATCGGCCTTTTGATTTCCTTGGATACCTTTTTGACCTGGTACCCACGCTAGTTTTACCTTATTGTGGGTTATTAGATCATTTAGTATTCCAAGGCAGTTTTAGACCAGATTCTATTTGAATCAAGGGCCTTTAAGACTGCTTGGCTATCTGAGAGAATTAAGAGTGTATTTTGTACTTCCTTCTTAAATTATTTATATTCCACACCTTGTTCTCAATGATCATAGGAGTTGGTGGTTTCAGGGTGGTAAATGGGCTCAGACCATTTTTGGTTGACTTTCAACCCTACAGTTTCGGATCCAAACTGCCAATTTTTTTTCCGACCTCCCTTTTGATGGTACTCAAAGTTAATACCGAACGTTCAGAGGACGTCCTAGTGTTCACGATAATTAGAAGTCCAGCGGACGTCCGATTTAGGTCCCGGACCAACCAGGGACCAAATCAGGAAGTCTATGGAACGTCCTGTGCTATTACTTAATTATGATTTTATAAATATAATTAAAAGAAAACTCTTAGCACTTTAATTACTTACAAAATCATGTAGTAAAACTAATAGTCCAAGCGGTGGGTGGTTTCTATTCGCAAAAGGTCGGAAAGAAATGACCTTTTGTTTTTATGGTAGACATACTACACCTAGGTTTGCGACCTCGGAAGGTTGCCGCTCGAGGGGTAGATGGATGAATACTCTGCGTAGCGACGCTTTTTGGAAAATTGCATCGTTGTGGTAAATACTATCAAAAAAAGTTTAAATGAAATATGTGCAGGACAAAATCGTGCACAATTTTGACTTCTACATTTTTTTGTCTGCGACCAATAGTTTCCTCTCTACAACACGCCAAAGTAGGGGGTTGATTTGCAATGTTCAACAAAATGAGAATTTCATCGCGGATTAAGACGAAGATCGCTATGAAACAATTAGGTAATATTTTTTTTTTTTTAAGAGTAATGATTTCTGAGTCTGCAGATGCCCGATTTGATACATTTGGCCGTATAACATAAATGATATGATGTTTTAAAACGCGCCCCTACATATTCCGATATAAAAATTTTGTAATTGTTAGTATCTACGGTCAATATTTCCTTATTTTGTTGACCTAGGCGCCAAATTTATTCTTTTTGTGCATACAAGAAAGTATAATTTTAAACTCGTTTCCACCCCACCCTTGAGGTAGTGTTGATCGGCGCGTTTTTTTTTAATGTGGTATCCCCAAGAGGCCTAATCCTTAGTCGATATTTGGGTTTATTCGTCAAACTCGGCGTTTATACGTTTGGTTCTCATCGTCTTGTAAATGATCGTGAACGTTTTCGGCATCTTCTGCATTGTCGTCGTCTAACGTAATCTGATCCGGAACGTTTTCGCAGGACATCCTAGTACAGTGTAAACACAGAATCGAACAGTTCAATCCTATTTTACGGCAACCACAAGCAGATCCACAACCTTTCTTGCATCTACACGAGATACTCTTATGTAAAATATCTGGAGCTGGTTCCTTTGCCATCCGTACTGCGTCCAGTCCTGTGGTTGTACTTCGCCATCCATGATCTTCTGGAGTACGCAATGAATGATGGTGGCACGCATCTGATGTTGGTGGCATCGCCGCTAAATTGAATGAATTTTTTAAGACGGCCTGTACAAAGTTCGTATACCGCAGAGAGTCCAACTTACGATGTTCGCTTCCTGCACCAACTGCCTTAATATAAACAGTTCGCCAGCGGCAAGGACTTTGGTTAATTCGGTATTGGGGTCGTCAAATACCTGAATCGCGTCTGTTAATTTTGGGTTTTTTCCAAAGTTTTGATGAATCGAATTTGGCCCTGATTGAAAAATGCCGATGTAGTGTCACATCCACTGAAGGCGTGCAGAAATAACATATTTTCGCTACAGCATCGCTATATTGTAAATTCTGAGGCAAATAAAGATTCGGGATCTCTCTGGCTTTAGCAGTCAACAACACAAGCAAATCTACATCTTCTCCAATAACGAATACGGAGGAAAAAGTGGGAGATCGCCTGCTTAACATTGTAATTATGTGTTTCCAACTTTGTTTGCAGCAATGCGATGAGGCATCTTTTGTTGAAGCTGTTTCATAAAAATTGTTCTTGCGATACAGTTGAAATCATGGATTCATCGAAGAGTATATCAGTGCTGCAGTGCTGCTTCGATCGGCGGTTTCTTTTAGGCGATTTCGTACTTGTTTCTGTCCCATTTTCGGGATATCCATCAAAAGCAACAATTGTATTCGGCCCATAGTGCCGTGCAATATAGTTAATGTAATTCGCACAAATCATTGCAAATGAATTGTGACGGCCCCACACAACACGATGGAACAAAAAGCCACCGTCAACAACATGTAGAGTTGTGTCAACTTCTATGACTGGTGTAACAAGAACATAAGCTTTGTACAATGAAGATTTTGCCACCTTGCGCATACCTTCCTCAGTGAACATTGAAAACGGAAAAAGCGCAAATTCGTACTGTAGGTATTCTCTCAGTTCATCGTCAGATTTTTTTGCAATGCATATGCGTTGAAACAACAAAAGCGGATTGATAATAACGGGAATCGGCCCAATCTTTACATTTAGCAGCTGCTAGAGAGAGAACTTTGTCTTTAAGTTTAAATTTCACTGACTCAAAAGTATGACCAAGCATTTTTATCATCGCAACTGACCCGATTTCGTACGCCTGGGGCATGTTTCATAATGAATTACAAGCTAATACTATTAGTATTGTAACTTGTATCTTGTAATTTTATGTTTCATAATAAAAAAATACAAATGTATAAATAACTACTTGTAAAATAATTTACAAAAAAAAAAAAAAAAAATACAAGTAAATTTTTACCAGGTTCTGTTTCATAATACGTGATATGTACTTTTGAAAAATATTAGTATTTAATGTAATACAAGTTACAAAAGATTATTTACCCATATTTTTCAAAGTACTAGTAGGCTTGATTGATTTTTGACTTATTTTTGGTAAAAAAAAGTGTTATGCTATTATAGAAAATTTACTTTTTGACTCATCTAGTGATGAAGAAGAGCCCTTAGATGTTCAGCGATGCAGAAAAATTGATAGGGTCCGCATAAATTTCAGTTTTGAATCAGCTATCAACATATTGAACGATTTAGAATGTCGTCCGATAAATAGGACCTTTACTCAGAATTCAGTCAAAGCACCAAACAATATATTTTTCTTCTCTTTCATTTTACTTAATACACAAAGTTTTAATTTTTGCTTATCAGCTCTTTTTCCCATTGTCAATTATTATGATCTACTTTTAACAAAGAGGTCGAAAAATACAGCAACTATCTGTTATACGTTTATAACCTCACTTTTAGAATGTCAGATTGCTTATAGATTTTTTCTTGTAGAAACTTACTAATAATATTAGTAAAGCTTTTTGCATTATGAAACAGAAATTACTAGAGATTGTAATTAGTAACTTGTACTTTTTTGCGAATAATATTAGTATCATTATGAAACAGGCCCCTAGCAATTAAAGAATTAATATATTACATACTCGTAAATAATAAGTTGAGGCCGAACAAGAGGCACGTATGCTATACTACAAACAAGATATTCATGACAACTAATGCACAAACATATTAAATTTGGCACCTAGGTTAACAATAATAAGGAAATATTGACTGTTGATTCTGATAATTACAAAATATTTATAGCGGAATAGAACTTACCACAACGGCGCTATTTCCCGAAAAGCGTCACGACGCAGAGTTTTTTTTCCTCCACCCCTCGAGCGGCAACCCTACGAGGTCGCAAACTTAGGTGTAGTATCAGGGGACCCATGTCTACCATCCCACCAAATTTCATTTCTTTCCTACCTTTTGCGAATAGACCCCCTTATTATTTATCAACCGCTTGGACTATAATTTAATATTGGAGAAAAAATTTAGTAAACACTCGTTACTTATAATAATTTTTGGTTATAGGCGTGGATTTACGTGAGGAAGCTCCACAATTAAGGAAAACACAATCTCAAAACGATGATGAATTTAAAAGTATTAACAATAACAAAATACGATAATTTCCATACAATTTTATTTATTTCAAAAAGATTATACATTCATCATACAAAAAATTATCAAGGGCTCAACCCGCATTTATATATCGCTAGAAAAAAGCTATGAAAATACAACAAGACTATAAAAAATTGCAAAAAGCCTTAACACCTAAGGATATGTAAAAAATAATCGGTATATTTCAACTTTGAGCGGCTAACTTTATGTAATAAATGCATCAACTGGTATTTAGACAAGATTTATGTCCAGGAAAACGTTTCATACATCCTTCATTAGATACAAAACCAAAAGTTTTCTTTCTAACATCCTTTACTTCAAATGCTGACAAGTGACCAATGCGGTGTTGCCGTTTTAGCCTACATTTAAGAGCTACATTTTTTTTGAGTAGGTAATGCAATTGTTTCTACAAATTTTATAAACTAATCCAAAAATAATATATTTAGATTGACATTGACAGAAATTCAAAATTTGTTCTAAAATTTATATTTTAATGGTCTTTAATTTTGGAATTTTATTTATTTCTACGTTGAGAACTATGTAGCACTACAAGTTAGGGTTCTTAGATGTACTATAAGATATGTAGTAATTCTAGATTTCAATGTTAGAAGAGAAAATATTTGTATTATAAATTGTGAAGGACGGAATCATAAAAAAAACGTAACAGTGCTGGAAAACCTTCTGTAAAAATATCTATACTTATAAATACATAGAATACACAAAGTATATTACACATCAGTAAAGTTTAAAGTACACTTTTTAATCATTCACTATGTGTATTCGAAAATAAAAAGGCTTCCTATGAGTATATACAATAATTACTACAATGATTTTGGTAAAAAAATGAAGGCCATGGAATCTTGGCAGTTACAACTTTTTTTGGCTAGTGTTACTCTGGGGTATTCTTACTTATAAAGTAATTTTTTTTGATATACATCACATTAAATACTTAATTGTAAACATTATGTATTAAAAACTATCAACTACATTAAATAAATAGAACTTTAGAAAATAACGTGCACAAAAATCAAAAATAAATCGAAAATATAACAGTTTTCTTCGAAATATCGATAAAAGAAAAAGTTCAAATTTGACAAATCACAAAGTAACAACGACCTTCTATAACTAGACGAACAAATAAACAAGGGAAAGTGAGTCAATATTGAATTAATATTTTTTTAGTTCTGCTTATTTAATTTTAAATTAAATACTGTTAAACAGCAAATTTACTAATATAATTTGTAGGTTGTACATTTATATGTTATTATCAAAACGTCAGTCTCGAATTTCTAGTCTAATCATAGAAGGTCATTGTCTAAACTAACCTAAAATAATCTTCCACACTTGTTTAGTGGTCTATGCCTTAAGGGCAATCTAGAGACTACTGGAATGGTTTTTAAACACCGATTTTTGAACATCAAAACTTACTTAAAAAAATTGAAAACATTCTTTCATCGAAATTTCGACCGAGCCTCTATAAATAACATAAATATTGCATCATCGCGAGTTGCTTAATATTCCCACTGGGTGGCGCTTTCGATATTACTTTCGCCTATACGGAAGCCGCCATTTTTATTCGCCGTCAAGTAATTTCCGTTTGTGGTTTTGATGCATAGGCGCGTTGGTTCTCTGAGTTCGAGATAAAATCCTTCGGGCGTATCGGATTCTGCGGCGACGGCCTCGCTGTCTGCGTGCCAGTATTTTCCGTTGTGATCTGAAAAATAAAACCGGCAATAAAATATTGGAAATTTTCCACATATGTACCAAATGCCACTAAATTATGCATAATACTAAAAAATCCATCAGAGGCCGTCAAAAAAGTATGTTCAAAATGAAAACAAATCATCGTCGGTGCACAAGAATAGTGGCACAACTCAAAAATTCCCATTTTTGAGCTTATAGTGAAAATGTATAACAAAATCCACATATTTTTAGCATGAATGAACGAAATGTGGCTACTTCCAGTTTTATTAATAATAAATATTTTCAACAGTAGCACAAGTCAAATTAGGACATTATTTCTGAAAACGTCATTATCAATGTGTTGTGAAATATGCTTTTCTGTAAGATCGTCATAACTCAAAAAAGGGGGATGAAAATTTAATATTTTTGGTTTTTTTCTTAATGTTATCAAAGCAGACTTGTCATTGTTTGATATACAAGTTTAATTATAGTATTTATTATTAATAGTTATTTATTATAATATAAGAGAAAAAAGTATTAGGTTTTAGCTCGAGGTTGTGTTGTCTCCCGACGCGGAACGGAGGAAAAAAAAACGATTTAATATTGAAAAAAAAAACTCAAATATCTACCTTTGTCCACGACCACTTAATAATAAATCAATATTCTACCTCCTAACTAAAAGCATATAGTACCCATATATCACGGAGTGAATTATGATAATTCACGCTTTTGTAATTCTGGCACATTCCGGTAGATAACTAAAGATAGGCGATACTTTTCATAACGATATTTTCTATATAGATCGAAAAATCAAAAAATCGATAAATCAAAAAATCGAAAAATCGAAAATCGAAAAATTGAAAAGTGGAAAAAACAACAGTTAATTACCTATGTTTAATAAAAACTTTCCATTCTACACTTATATTTTATTTCATAAAGAAACCATAATAGTCGTGGACAAAGTATAGTATTAGACTCGCAATTTATGGCCATTATTTGCTCGTTTAATAATAAACTATTAATTATATGTAAATATATATACAGGTATATATCCAGGAAAAAAGTACTTACTTTTTCCCGGGGAAGCACTCTTTTCCGCGGAAACGGGGAAAAAGCAATTTAATAAAAAGTGACATTTTGTTACCTGACAAAAGAGATCAAATGTCAAACTTTTTTCCCGTTACAGATCATGACAAGCCTTACAGGAAACAAGATACTTTAAAATATATAAATACATCACATTATTCATCGTAAAATGTACCTACTTTTAAAATATACAATTCCTTTCTCTCCCCTTTCGACTTGGATGGTCTCGTATGTGGCCTTGTTGCATTCCAATTTGGGATTGGTAGAAGACTTGTAACCCACGAAGCCTTGTTCGCATTTCAGCACCAAGATAGGTCTATTGACGAGGTAGAAGAAGTATTTGCAAGTATCGTCTACGTTCTCAGAGGTAGCGTATAAGTGGCCGGAACGTTTGGTGATGACGTAACGACCGTTATTGGCTCTAAAGGCTACGGATCCGTCGTTTTGCCAGGACAGGTCGAACAGAGCGTTGGATGATCTGAAATCAAGAAAAATCGATAAAGAAACGATAAAAATTATTAAAAGTAGATAAAATGGATAAATATCATAAAAATACAATAAAGATCAATAAAAAAACACTATAAAAAAGAAAATGAATTAAAAAATCACGTGCAGCACCGTGCACGTCAAAGAAGTAAAATTTCTTAACTCTATCCCCACTTTACCCCACGCTACCATACTCTACTCCACTCTACCTTAATTCTACCTTTACTCTACCCCACTCTAACTTTACTCTACTCCACTCTGCCTTCACTCTACCCCACTCTACCTTCACTCTGTCCCCTTCCCACCTAAGCCCACTCTACCTCATTTTACTCCCACTCTAATTTACTTTACCCCCATTCTAATTCACTTTACCCCACTCTACCTTTACTCTACCCCACTCTATATTTACTCTACCCCACTCTATATTTACTCTACCCCACTCTATATTTACTCTCCTCCACTAGACCCCAGTTTACCCCCACTCTTCCCACCCTACCCCCTCTCTACCTCAATTCTACTCCCCCACTCCGCCCCACTCAACTCCGCTCCATTTGCTCCCTTCTGCTCCGTCTCCATTCTCCTTCAATTCACTTTGCTTCCACACTCCACTCCTCTCCACTTTCCGCTCTCGCTCCACCCCGCCTTGCATCTTAGAAACAGAAAAATCGTATATAACCGCTCAAGGTCAATGTTCTTTTAATTTCCTGACATTACCATGGTTACATGCGTTACAGATGTAACGTTACATGTCTTTAAATTTTCACTCTCCATTTTCGCCAAATATCGGACCAATGCCTACTCGTCAAATATCGAACCGCGGCCTAAGAAGTTTTACTTCAATAAAGAGAATACAAGAAAAATCAAGAAGAATCAACTATTTAAGACAGACAAAATGCTATAAAACTGTCTACATGCCACTACCAGATAAGTAAGACTACCATAGAAAAGATCATTGTTGTTTCTTACTTTTTATCACCGCAGGCTTGAATGCCACCTCCAGTTTCCAACGTCCAGTACCTGTCTTGCATAGTACGGATGTACCATCTCTTCGTGTTCCAGTCGAATTCTAATTGGAAGGTTTCGTGATCAGAAATCTCTTCCTGGTTGGCAGTTACGTCAACACCTGGAACAAAATTATTAAGAATAAATAAAAAGACTCGGAATGGTGTACACACTAAATATAAGATAGTGTGTAAAAAAGAAATTTTTATTAAACAATAGCCTGAGCGCTTTCGGCTTTACAAAGCCATCATCGTACCCATCGTCTAGTAAAGTGATAGAAATACCCTTTGAGATTTTTAGTTAGTTTGCACGTGTCTTATTTCAGTTGCGCTTTGTTTTTGCTTAGAAGCGTAAACTTTATTAAGGTGCGTTTACACGAATACAAGAAGTTACTTTGAAAAAATTAGGATTGCGTTTTGTGCTTTGTCTTCAAATACTAGAACAATTTACTTTCGTACTTTATAAATAAATTTCTCAGCTGAACATTAGCGTTTTTAAAGATAATTCAAAACAGGTGAAAATTCGTGAAACAGATTCTTTGTTAAAAAGGTATATAACAAGAGACACAGAAAATATTTATTGGATAACTCATGTTTTTTTACTTGCAGTAGCCATCGTTCCATCTTACCAACTTTTTCTGTCACTTCCCTAGCTTTATACCCACGTCTCATCCATAAGTACAGGCTTAAAGTTAACCAGCTCTATCTCCTTGTCGACATTTTTCAAAAACGACATTTTTTTTTAACAGAATCGATGTTCGTTATAATAAAAACTGTCTGTTGTTACTTCTTTTAAAGCGAAAGCCAATTTTTCGAATCCATGTATTTATTAGAACATGGTGCAGAACATTTCACATCAGGCATTTCTTCCGAAAATCGTTTATGTAACGATTTCATTGTTAAATGTTGCGCACCTTCATACATCTTATATATAACTTGCCTCAACTTACTTAATATTAAAGAATTTACTTTTGTTTTACTTTGGCTAACTTTCTTAGACATTATTTTCACATACTATGTAACATAATTTGTTGGTTTACTAAGTCTATAGATAGTTTCATGCGAAATATTTATTGCCTCTGCAGCCATTTGATTGTACCTCTTTCCAAGAGCCTCGCAATAGATTTGTGTCTCTTGAAATAGGAAACTACGTTTAGAATTAAAGTTTTTGATTGATCACTAAATCGTTCCATCATTTTGTTGAATACTTATAAAAACTTTTGAAATATCAAAATATACAAATTTTCAACAAATTGGCAAATTCAAAATTATTTTGTTAATTATAATGCGTAGGTAGGATTCCCCGTTTTGACCATTCACTGTTGGGTTCTAATTAACAGTGCTGTTCCTAAAATGGCGCTGGGAAATAGTAACAACGCCTGTCTGTAGGGGTGCAGGAGTATTAGAGTACTAGCACTCCTGCACTATGGAGTATAATCCATAAAATACATAGAACACGAGGCTAATGACCTAAGTTGTCGAAGAAAAAACGATAAATATAATTTTTATGTGAACAATCTTGACACATTTTTTCAACCTTCTCGAGTAAGAGCATTATACCACAAATTGATTGGATTGATAAAAATATATGATATGAACATCAGTTGTTGATGAAGATAATGATTGTCAAGGAATAACAAGACTGCTTCCAACATCATTCATTTCGGAAAACGTAGTGGCCTATATGTATATCTGGTTTTGTTGCCAAAACTTTAAAAAAACATTGAATGTGGAAATTGCATGGAGCTAGTAGTTTGTATTGATGGTACTGAAAGAGACAACCTTGCACTCTTCAATATAAAAATTGTGAAGGTTTGATAGCACCATCAAGAAATATAAAAACATGCACTTTTATCGATAAAAAATTCGTCAGACCTCGTTCCTTACTGATAACATGATGCCTCCGGAACCAAACTGAAGTTGACAATTTTGACAAACACCTTAGTATTTTTCTATTTGAAAATAATTATTCGAATGACGACAATTTATTAAGTTATTCTGTAGGAGAAGAAAGCCATACAATGAAAAAATTAGTTAATAACTAAAATGTATTGTTGAATTAGATTTTTTAATGTAGCCAAAGCGCAAACTAAAAATTGATAGGATAATTAATATCTATCAGAATTTTTTTTCTAAGCTCCTTTTCCATCACCAATAATGAACTTCAAAGTCGTGTAAGTATGTACAAGTAGGTACAAGACGGTTGCAAAATAAATGGCGCAAGTACACTGAGAAATAACTATTGTATTTGCTTGTCCATGTACGTATTTTATCTGAAATCAATTAATAACACTGGCCAACAAAATTACACTTTTTGACTGATGAATGACTCATGTCACATGATGTTTACTAATTTTAAGTTGCTGATTCTAACTATACTCCCACTTCTTTTCACTAAAAATTCGCTGTATTATAGTGACCATATGCAGTTTATTTAATAATAATTACTGAATTATTATACATGTTTAATTTTATTTGGAAATACCATTAATTTATAATCCTCTTTAACGACCCTCTGTTGTACGACCGCGGACACCCCCTGTAGTTTCTTAGAACATACTTATAAAGGTAAAAGTACCTCTCTTTAATGACCGGTAAAACCCAATTTCAGAATTCTTAAGAAATGATCTTTTGTTATTTTAGGGGAAGGTTTAGTAAGACAGTAGTGAAATTACCTTTCTTGTTTGAAGTATTGTTTTATTTTGTAATTTGATATGGCATCGTCAAGAAGAGTATGTGTGAATGATTCAAACAATTTTTGTTCCATTTGCGGAGAGTATGTATTTAAAGAGTACCGTTTAAATGTGAAGACGTTCGTAAATGAGGCTTACAAAAATTACATTAGGCACTCGCTGGAAATGAAGAATAAGCCTTGGATTCCGCAAAAAGTATACAAAACATGTGTTGAGTTCCTACGTTTATGGACAAAGAAGAAAAGACATAGCTTGAGGTACAAAACCGCTATGATTTGGAATGAACCCATGAACCACCATGACGATTGTTATTTTTGTTTGGTGAACATAACTGGTATTAACCAAAAAAATCGAGCCAAATGGGAATATCCTTCCATACAATTGGCAATATTGACAATCTTGAGCCCTGAACCTTAATCTGGTACTTTACAGAAAGAGCCAGAAGATTTTGAGACGAAAAACGACAGATGTGGTAGTGACTTTGAATGCGACCTGGAAACGCCAAAACCATTCAATCAAAATGATTTAAACGAATTAGAGATCTGGGACTGTCAAAGTCATCTTCATAAATTTTGGCTTCAAGGCTAAAAGAAAGGAAATTGGTAACGAAAGATACTAAATTTTTTTATTACCGCACAAGAGAACAGAATTTCCTCAAATATTTTGCTGAAGAAGACAATTTCGTATTTTGTAAAGATGTACCTGGATTGATGGCTGCAATGGGATTACAAAATTATGTTTCTAGTGAGTGGCGTTTATTCATAGACTCGTCAAAACGGAATCTAAATTGTGTTGTCTTACACAATGGGAATAAATTAGGGTCGTTGCCTATTGCACATTCTACAAAAGTAAAAGAAGAATATACAACTATTGCTTTGGTTTTGGACAAAATTAGATATGTGGAAAATAACTGGATCATATGTGTTGATTTAAAAATAGTCAACTTTCTATTAGGCCAGCAAGGTGGTTACACAAAGTATCCTTGTTTCCTTTGCTTGTGGGATAGTAGAGCTAAAAATCAACATTGGGTTAAAAAGGATTGGCCTACTCGGAAAGATCTAGTTCCAGGACAACAAAACGTGATAAACTTACCTTTAGTGTCAAGAGATCGTATAATTTTGCCACCGTTGCATATAAAATTAGGGCTTATAAAACAGTTTGTCAAAGGTCTTAACAAATATGGAAATTGTTTTCTATTTCTATCAAACAAATTCCCGAAACTGAGTGTAGAAAAGATAAAAGCGGGCATTTTCGATGAGCCACAGATAAGATCATTAATAAAAGACACAAAATTTACGGACACTGTGACAGAAATTGAGAAAAACGCATGGAATGAGTTTGTTTGGCTTGTTCAAAATTTTTTGAGAAATAAGAAAAGTTCTAACTATTCTCAACACGTTGAACAACTAATGAGTCCCTTTCAAACTCTTGGATGTAACATGAGCATCAAGTTGCACTTTCTTCACAACCACCTAGATTATTTTCCCGCTAATCTTGGGGATCTAAGTGAAGAACAGGGCGAGCAATTCCACCAGGACTTTCGTACGATGGAGGAACGGTATCAAGGCTACTGGAACTATTGTTGGAGCATTTAGAACAGTTCTATGGGTTCAACCTCTGCAAGGAAGTCTTATAAAAGAAAGTTTTTTTCACCTTAAGAACTAAATAAAATATGATTAACTTTAAACAAATTGTGTTATACCATGAAACGGCCATGTGTCATATTTTTAAACTAGAGCTAATACAGAAATTTAGATTACAGATTTGAAGTCTTCATTAAAAATAAGCTAGTGTCATGTAATATAACTCAATCATCATAAATGCTGTTGTGCAGTGTAATAATTGAATAGTTATTTTTCAGTGCAGTTACGCTATTTATTTTGCACCCGTCTTTTATGCGTTATGAAACAACAATTAGCAAGTCTTACTCCAAGTGCATATTAAAAAGCGCACGTTTAGCTATATAAACAAAACCTATTTGGTTTTTGTATATATGCATTTTATATGAAACCAACTATTCATATTTTTACGTTTACCGTATATTAATCGATCCACTTAATGTTGACAAAATCAGGCATTAATTGGCCTCATTAATGGTCTACTTTTTATTATTAACCGTTTATCTACGACCTACGACCAGGACCGAGTCTAGGGTATCGGAATAATTGGGTAGTTTTCAATGCAGGTATAAGATGTTTGACGAACCTGCGCGTCATTTCAAATTGGGAAATTTAATGAAGACACATTTTTTAAATAATTTATTGTCAAATATATAAAAGAGTAATGAAAATAAAATTTATATACTTAAATTGACAATGTATCAATTTCATTGTAAAGATTAATTGCATTTATATCCATATTCCTTGTTTCTGATTCAGTTAATTTAATTTCCATGTTCTTAGAACATCCCATTATTTCCTCTTTAGTAA